CTTCCTTTCGTTACGAAAAATGATGACTGTCCTGATATAGACATATATCACATGTTTCCTACAGAATTCATATACAAACAGAATGAACCGTTTGTTTGTTGATATCCTGCTGTTGTGCATGTAATTCTGTTCTGCTTTCTGGACGTTTGATAATGATAAACAGTGCCATATAAAGCATAAATTGAATAGCATAAATAATTTTATAGACACCAGAAAATGGTTACTGTCATCATCATCATTCATATCCGTAGATGAAACGAAAAGAATCCGGTAATAATGGGAAAATAAAATTCCGGTTAATGTCCGATATTTTATCATGTTGGTCTGTTTCTCTCTTTTCGCTTGCTTAGTTCGTGTGTCACACATTCACTAAATATATTCGAGACATACGAATTATCATACATTAAGGATATTGGATTATTATTACTAGAATAATGTGGATAAGACAATCAAAAAAATATTTGAATATACGAAAGAAATAAAAATTCTTAGATCACGGAGGCCACCACCACCACAACAAACATGACGACCAATGAACATTTTTCATTCAAGAAAAAAGCATTTTCAGTTTTATAATACAACAAATATGGAATGCTTTTAATTATCAAATGTGAATAAAATAATAAACATCAAGTTCAGTCACAAATACTCACAGTGATTATGGTAATAGAATGCAGATGTCAAATATTTTCATTTTGAGTTCCTGAATCCAACATGAATGAAAATTTTTAAATTCAATTCAAATGTCCAAATTCGAAAAGCAATACGTTTAGTTTTTCGACAACAACAACAAAAAATATTCGCCACAAAATTTCATAACTATAAGCGTTGTCACCAGAATCAAGATAAATTCCAAATGGAAAAGCAACAACAAACAAACAAAAATTAAAGTTGATCAAAATGAGAAAAGAGAACGGGTTTCTATTTTCACTTGGAATAATGTTGATTTAGATAAAACAACAAATAAATTATGACCATCATCCATATATTTCTCGATTTCGGCTATTCGTTCGACCACCATCAAGAACAATCTACTCCATATGATTCACAAGACAAATGTGCATTGTTTTTTTTCTCAACCAGACTTGTTGTATAGGAAAACAACAAAAAATGAAATATGCATGTGAAATAAATAAATTTCACACTAGAGATTCGATCGACAACAACAAGAAATCAAGATTATTTCCATGAGTGAAAGTGTTAAAGAAAACAACAAATCATTGATTATATTGCAATATTATCATTATTTCGAAAATATCGTATCGATTTAATCTTTTCCGTCAGCTGGAAAAAAATCCGGTAAAAATTGATAAATTTGAAATCAGGAAATTGATCTAATCATTCGAAAAAATCAAATCTAGAACAATGGAAGCAAAAATAAAACATATTTTCACACTGTTTTCTCATTATTATCATCATTATCATTAGATTAGATCATCATCATCATCATCACATTTTAATCTGATATAAAAAATAAAACAAGACAAAATGATGACTTGTAATTACACATCCATCATCATTATTATTGGATGTTTTTATAATGATTACGTGTAAAAACAACAAGAGAAAGAGAAAGTATTTGAAGCAAAATCAAAGGAGTATAAAAATCATCATCAGAAAATAGACTCGAATCAGATCATCACACACACATATACACAGCTGCTCTAAATTTTTTTTTATAGCAGAAAAATATTAAAAATCTGGATTAATGCTAGAAAACGTGCCCAAAAAAAACATAAAGGTTGCAGCTATTTTGTATTCATTAACTTTTTTAGTTGTTGAATATTTTCAAAAAACAAGCAATCAAGTTTTTTTCCACCATTTTTTCTGCGAAAAGCAACAGGCATCTTTAAAAAACATTTTTCATTGATCAATGAATGATGCGATGGTAAACGTTCCATAAACAATTTAGTGACAATTTATCTTTTGAAGTAGCAACGTGCACGTGTTAGATTTAATTTAATATTGGAATTGGCCAAACAACAAGAAAAAAGTCATCGTTTCGACAAGGTTAAACAAACAATAATCAACAATGATCATCATCAGCAATGGCTTTTCCATCAACATTCATAAATGTTTCTCAGTTTTTCCATGAAAATTTAGAATCTAATTTAAGCAACAAACAAAAAAAATCAATTTCAACCAACCATCAAAGAAACAAAGAATTGCCATTATATTTCATGGGAAAGTATTACACAGAAAAAAAACTTTTTCGAAATGAATTCTGGTCGAGTACTTTTTAGCTACGCAAAATAAATTCAAGAACAAGAAACACGGTTCAAAGAGCAGCCAAACAAGCCGAGGATAATAAACAAAATGTAGTGAGCCAAAAATATATATTTTCAATTTTCAAAGAGAGAGAGAGAGAGGGAACTAAAACAATGACGATTATGAAAAGATGAAATGCCTAGTTTGAGATAATTTCATCATCATCATGTGACGATGACGTTGAAATGTCAATGTAGCTATAGTTTTTCTCAATAACGAGATGAAAAACCTAAAAATATCAAACAAGAATCATTCATGTTGTGCATTAGACACGTGTGTAAAAACATTTCAACAACTTACAATTCGGACGATACATTTCCATGATGATCGAAAATCATTCCTATCATATATTTGCATTGGTCAGCAATCTCTCATTCACTTATTCTTCACGCTTCTCAATTTTATAAAAAAAGATCCTAGCCTCTAGATATGAATCGGTTTTATGCATCGTTGTTGTTGCTGGCCATTTGACAGAATGGCTACATAACTACTATTTAAATATTCCAAAATAAAATCGGCAAACAATGAAATTGGACTAGATTTCATATTGGAGATATTCAAAGTAAAAAAAAAATTCAATCCGAATAGCAAATAAAAAATTGATTCAATCGATTAGATTGATGAATAAAGTGATATTAAAATGAAAATTCAATCATCAAGAAAAAATCAGAGTTTAAATTATGGACAAAAAGGGTGATCGTCATTATATCATCTGGAAGCAACAATTGTGCCAATCATCATACAAAGCTCGCTTAAAGCAAAAAGGTGGAACATTGTGTCTAGTTGGAAATGTATTTTGCGTCTTGGAGAAAATTGAAAAAAATTCCATTACTTGAAACTAGATTTGAATAATCAGTTTTGATTTTGTTTTGTCGGCCACCAATCATAATCATAATCAGTAATCAGTAAGGCTGGTTAAAGTGTGAGATTTTCACACACCAGATTTTAATTTAAAAAAAATTCAAATCTTCAAAATGAAAGGCGTTTGTCGATGCACCCTATATTTATCAACATTTTTCGGAGAAAATTTTTTTTAATTTCATTCAATTTTTTAAAAAAAAGTATATTTTTAGAGCATTATTTGCAAAGACAGTCAAACTGACTCATTATTTCGAAAAAAAAGAAACAAATCAATGAATGAACAATATTAAGGCCAGATAACAAACAACTACTCATAAGGGTATTGTGATGATGACCTCTGTGATAACAATAAATTGTGTGTGTAAAAAAATGAAACCAATCATCATTATTGATTAGCTGTTGATAATTTTCTAACCCAATTTATTGATTTGAAAAATAAATAAATGAAATAAATGAAATGAAATCATGAAAAGCATCGATTTTCAAAATGTAGGTCTTTGTTGTTCACACACACACACAAACACTTGTGAACATTTTTTGATAAGAAAGCATTGAAAAAACATAAGAAAACAAAACAAAATGTGATATATGAATCAACAACAACAACAACAAACAACAAACAGACACAACAGACAACTTTCACATATCGTGTGCTAATCAAGTTTACTGCTAACAAAGATAAGACAATATCAATCTATATATCTGGCTCAAAATCATATTTTTTTCCAAACAGATGTGAAAAGCATTTGTGTGTTTGTGTTCCAGATTGTTGCCGTCAGAATAAATTTATCACAATCCTCAAAACAAAGAACAAAACTCTAGTTCATTTCATTCTTGTTGGGTTATGTATAAAATGTCATAGACCTTTGTTTTGTTTTGTTTCATTTTTTCCATTCATTCAAAGTAATTAGGCCAATTATGATGGTTGATTTGTTTGTTGTGAGAAAATAAAAACAAAAACAAGTAAGAAGAATCAAAAGCTAACATATCACATATCATATCATTCATATCTGGAACGTGCGTGCCGGGTATTATTTGTATTCGGGTATCAATTTCTGTTTGTACTATGTGTATGCTTCACGACTACTACATCATCATCATCATCATCGTCATCATTATACTCCAAACACGAACATCTCTCCTATCTAGATGGTTTTTGGCCAATAAACAAACACACGAATTCACCCAGGTAATTACTGATGAACCGAAAGAAAACATGATGATGATGATGATGATGTGAATGTTGAAAACAAGACAATTCATTCAATGTATTCAAGATTCGGAGACAAACACCAAAAGAAAAAGATCTAGTGATTGGAATGCATAATTCATGACAATGACGTATTTCAACAAACGAAATCCTAACAAGATTGTCCACAACAACAACAAAAAGTAAAAGTAAAAGTAAAAAAATTGGTTCATATTTCATCATTACAAAAATTGAAAGCAAACGAAAGAAAAATGGATCATGGCAATCATCATCAAATTTACTTTTCTCGGAATATTCTTCTACCTACTCAATCATTTCTGTGCATGTGGATGCCATTGCGTGCAGCCATCATAATCATCATTATTTAATCATCGACATAAAATGATGATGATGATGATGATGTGCAAAAAATTGATAGATTCGATTGTCCGAACAAAGATGAAGAATATCGAATATCTGAAATCAAATTTAATCATAGCATGGCTACTGCATATATGGATTTTCTATCTATACGTTTGTCGCTATAATGATGATTGATTGATATTTCGATACACACACAGAGAGAAATTTCAAATATTCTTCGCGTATTTACAAATTTACAAATTACCAATGAAATGGATAAGAAAGTAAAAGCCATACTATATATATACAAAAAAAATACCTTTTTTGGTTTCATGTTGTCCATGGACTAGTCCACCATTAACACTGCAATTCATCATCAATGAAACAATGATGGCCAAAATGATGACTGATGATGATGATAACATTGTCCAATGAGAATTTGGTCGTCGTTGATGCTTCGCAGTCGTTGATGATGATTGACTTTGGCCGCAATGATGATGTGAATTTGAAATATTTCTACATGATAACATTGATGATGATGAGCAATATTTGGCAATTATCGATGAATTGAATTGAATTCCATTTGCAACTATACTTGTTGTTGTTGATCTATAATCTGGATGATGATTATGACAAACATTATCCATTACAACATCATCATCATCATCATTATCACGTGATAATTCGGTTTGATTATCCATTTGTTCCAAATGTGGTTTAAATGATCGTCTGGCTTTCACTTTAGACGATGTTGATGGCATCAATATTATTTCATAATTGTCATTGTTTGTCCACCATTCTCTCTTCTTTTTCGCACCATTAATCGATAACGACGAATACATTGCCATTATTTGCGATTCATTCGTCGTTTGTTGTTTGAATTTCAAATATTTTTTGAAATTAATATGGATAAGATGAAAATAACGAGAAAAATTTGTTCATAATGTCGAGAATAATCTGTGAAAATGAGAAAAACAGAAAATTTTAGTCACATTTTTTCCAAACAACCAAATTCATCAATTTATATATGGCCAACAATAAAAGCTATTCTTATAATCACAGAAATTTTTTTGACACTTTTCATCGAAAAAAAAAAAGAAAATCATGTCCAATATTCCAATCGGTCACACATTCATGAACACACGCACAGTGAGAAATTGGTGAAAAAAATGCGGAAGAAATAGTACGGTCAATTCCAAAGATGATGATAATAATAACCATCAAATAATGGTAATAATAATAAAAAGAAGGGAAAAAATGGCAGAAAATAAATCTAACCAAGTTGTTTCCAAACGCAACGGTTACATAGTATTGTATCATCATTATGATGACGATCATCATCATGCTATAGAGAAAAGAAAAGAGATAGTTTTCAACTCGTCAAACAGACAACCAGAATAGCAAAAAAAAAAAAAAATCAACGATGCGTATGAATGAGATTATAATAATATGATTATCTGTTTTATGATTGTAACAACGAAAAAAAACCAAAACGACTGACAATGATGGTGATGATACCAAAATGAGAATCATACATTCAGTACCATAGATCTAAACATCTATGATCTGGAAAAATTATCTCTCTCTCTCTCTCTCTCTCTCTCTGCGTCTGATTTTATTCTCTTTTTCACTGTGTGACACTAAGGAAGAAAGAAAAAGATTTGATCGTCGACAAACAACACAACAGAAAAGATTATGATGGTTTGAAATTCAAATTCAAATTCTCAATACAATCAGTGTTTGTTTTTAGAGACAAAATTATTTTTGATTGAAAATTCAATCGATTCGAACTGGATATATATAATCTAATCTGTTTGTTTTTTGACCAAAACTAAAATTTCAAATATTAAATTAAATAAATACGATATTAATGTCACCAAAGGAAAAAGACAAAATGAAAAAACTCGTAAATCATCATTAAGCGCGGATAGCCATAATGGCATTTCTACACACACACAGCTATAATCGAAACCGCCGCCAAGACCAAACGAAAAAAAACATTGTTGGACCAGTCATAATAATAACAATAACATTGTCATCATTACTATGGTAGTGATGATGACACACACAAACAGACAAAATAAAAAGTCTTTGCTGTTTGATCTTCAATACAGTAATGAAGAAACAAATCTCAACACCAGAAACCCACCCACACAAACAAACACACACAGAAAGGATCTAATGGAAAGAATGGCGAAAAAACAGATACCAAGACAGAATTTTATGAAGGAAACCATAAAGAATCAAGGAAAAAGTGTTTTCAGACAAAAAAGTTTCCTTTATAGATCTTAGTCCGCATGTATGTGTGTGTGTGTGCCTTGTCTAATTAATAACTTAACCAATGCCAAACTGGTGATCTAGCTATTTTCACCCGCAAACCAGAAATAGAATTGAAATACATTTTGTGCGAAAAAAAAAAAACATGTCGATTTATCAGGATTAACACATATTCTTTTTTTCTGAACGAATTTTAGACTGACAAACACACACACACAGAAAAAGACAGATACAAACAAGGAATATCAAATGATTATTGTTCCAAATGTGACCATGGGATTTTCTCGACAACGATCGTCATCATCATCATCATGTGTTTTGGCATATGGTGTGTTGTTTTTTACAATATAAATGGCGCCGACAATCACCATTCAAGTAATAAGAAAACAAAAATATGTAAGAAGATTGGCCAAAGAGACATTAATAATGGAAAGAATTTAGAAAAAAAACAGGCCAGAATTTAAGCAATGATTTTCATTCATGATGATGATCATTGTATAGAATTCTTTTTATTAGAGACCATACAACAAAGAAAAAGAAAATAATAAGATGATGATGACAGAAAATGTTGCCAAAGGCTACATTCATCTAGGTTTCAAAGTGGTGTGTGTGTGTGTTGTTCCAACATGAACATGAAATATTTAATAATAATAAAAAAGCAGACATGATGCGATTATTATTATGCAACGAAAAGAATGTCATCCCCGTGAATAATAATAATAATATAAAAAGACTGTAATTATAAACATCAGCACCAAAGTTTATAAAATAATATAAGTATTCAATGACGATTCAGGCCATTGCAAACAGAAAATTATTCAAGTTGCATGAATCATTCACCTATATTGCATTATTATATCACACATACCAAAGTGAACAACACACTGTATAAATAAGTGGAAAGAAAGATGAAAAAAATCTTTTGACAGGCTCATAAAAAAAAAGAAAAAATCGAAACCAAACGGTTTTGGATCGCGAATGGAACAGTGGTTGTTTCTTCATTTGAAATGTTATAAGTGTGTATGTGACATCCCAAATGAAATTCTCAATGTCATTCATCATTTTGATTTGAATATTTGAGAGAAAAAATCAATCGTTTTGATTTCGATTTTTTCTCTTGTCACACGGAATTGAATCTAAAAAAAGGGACGAAAAATAGAATGAGACTTCATGATGGTAGAGCTAGGACACCGACCATCATCGGAAATGAAAACTGTAAAGAAATTTTGCAAGAAAGATGACACTACTTTTTAGCTCGAAAGTAACCGAATACGTATGACAACTTGTAATAACGATAATAACCGCCACACACATATTCGACTAACACCCAACAATAGAAAGACAACTTCTAATAGTTACACATGGCGAAATCCTTCGATTTGAGATTTGACGTCTAATATATGTTGCTTATGTTTAACAATTTTTATTCAAGTCTGTTTTGAGCTTAACATTACTGCTACCACCCATATATTGTGATGGTGAGTGATGAAGATGACGATGATTAATGCCGGATTAACCGAAAAAAGATGCGAAAGAATCCCATTTACTTGAAATTTGAGCCCTTCATCATCATCAACATCACTAGCCACATAGTCTGTGTTGGGTTGTGAAAAATTCTTTCCATTTGATGTGTTGTTTAGCTTTCTTGCTGATGCCTCATACACACACAAAAACACATTTTACCAAAACAACAAATAGTGATGATCAGATTTTCTCACTTTCAATCATCATCATCATCATCATAAGTATCAAAAGTATCAATATTCAACATGGATATTACTTGTGTAATGTAATACGGTTGATGATGAATCCTCTGTTTTATCATCAAACTTATGCTGAGGATTAACACGTTCATATTTTGCATTCACTGCACACAGAATATAATGACGCCCAACAAGAAATCGAATATAGAATATTATCCCAAAGCCAAAAATATCACCATAACATCATAACAATAATAATGATGATGATGATAACAACATTAAGAACATGTACACTTCTCTCCTCATAATAATAACTATGAATGATGTGTATGTGGGGTGTTGGTCCGATCATCATCCCAATGATGATGATCATTATTATATCAAAAATAAATTTCTTTGGAAAATTTTTTTTATTCACAATGGTAAATGGTAATCGGATACGAAAGAAAAAATTACATATTGAACCACAATAGAACAAATTCCAAAAACCGGGAATCAAAGAAAAAAACTGAATCCTGATTATGATGATGATGATGAGATAAACTTTTTTTTACCCCGCATCAATATATTATTGTTTATTTAGGGTAAAGCATCGTGTTTATTCATTTCAAACGAAAGCAACTACAATGGGTGGGGACTATAAGAGAAAATATGTCATAAATAATCCATATCATTTTATATTGTAACAACCGAAAAAATACCAACTGTAACAAAACATGTGAACGAATAATATTCAAGAATATTCTAATGGTTATATATTCAAATCTTGAATTTTGTCTTTGGAAAAGAAATTTGTTGTTGTCTATTCATGTGCATTTTGTTTTACATTAAAAATGTAAAATGTAACTTGAACCATAAAGAATCGCGTATTCAAATTTTCAGTTTATTCGCAAAACTCAAAACGAATAAACTGTTCAATGTGTTATTTGGACTTTAGTGTTTTTCGTTTGATTCTAAATAAATTTTTTCTCTTTTTCCACCACCAAGTTCCTGGATCGAAATAGATGGAATAGTAGCAGTATAGCATTACAGTAGACGGTGACATAGTGCCAAAAAATCTGTAATCATAATGCAAATCAGAAACTGAAAAATCTCTCACTCAGTCATGGCAAACACAACAAATTCATGACAACCGGAGAAAAGAGGAAAAAACCTTAGACGTGGAAAGGAATTCAAACATCACATCATAGGCCATGGCCAACCGTAATCACCACTACTCACTACTACTACTATAGTATAACTACGGTTTTTCTATATAGGGAAAATCCTGAGAATTTTTGTTTCGACAAACAGTATTCAGAATGCTAATATTATGGCCAAAAAGACATACACATATTAAATGGCATCTTAGATGTCGACCTAGTCAACGAAAATCTTTCATCTCATAAATTTTAAAAAAGCCATGATGAAAAAAAAGAGAAAAAATTCTTCGATGAAAACTGAATGTGCTTTGAGCACAACAAACAAACCAACAAATTGTAACTGGAACAGGAACAAGAACAAGAAGAAAAGTAGAAGAAAAAAATTGGAAATCATCAAATCAAATCAAATAAATTCCATGTTCTTTTAACTGAACTTGAGATTGAACGAAAACGAAATTCAAATATGAAATTCTCGGAAGAAATTTCCTTTTTCCTATACTATCTTGATATTTTAGTCAACCATCATCCTCATCATTTGATATTGGTAATGGATTTTCTTTTTTTCATATTTTTCTCAATATTTCTCATTTCATATTAGTCGCCTATGTATGGAATGAAAAATGAAATGCAAATATTCTGTACAAAAACAACTCGTGCTGTAATTTTCACATGAATTTCACGGTTGTCATGTAGAAATGTAGAATGTTCCGGTCTTCTTGATTTCAAAAAAATATGACAAAACAAAGCTAATCGTTGACCATTTTTAATCTCCATTCGTTATTATTGTTCCAACAAGTAAAAATAAAACATTTATAATGAACTAGTTACCGCTTTTCTCGTTTCCGAATCAAATCAGAAAAAACCAAATAATCTAAATAATGAATCTGATCATCAACAACAATGAAAATAATGATAATCAATGGGAAACCAACAATAATCATAACGACAAAAATGAATTGGGTTGGATTTTTTCTCTCTTGAACTGGACTTCCGATATCATAGATTTCTCGTGAATTCATTTTGCATGTGTGATATGTTTCTTTTATTCTCTCACCATGGTTGGTGGGCTATTTGAAACATAAAAAAAAATATTGAAAGGGCATCGTTGGTAATAAACAATAAATAATGTTTTGCGCACACACACACACATAGTCAATGGTGTGAGAAAAATAAATATCCTCATCATCATAAAACCCATCGTTTGGTTCTGGCTGTGTTCACTGGTCATTTTGTTACGTTCCATTATTATGATCATCGTCAATGATGTTATGCGACAGTCACACGACAACATTATTCGAATCATTAGATTCACGATGGTCGCCTTCGTCAGCAATGATTCAAAACAACAACGAAAAAAATTTCTATGAAAATCCAGTCAACACACAGCACACTGATTAATGAAAAAAAAAATTTCTAACAAAAAACAAAAGGAAAAAAGAGCAATGAAAAACATGTCAACACCAGAACCAAAGAAAAAAATTTACTGAATTCATTTGCTATATCGAAACTTTCGACAATCCTTTCGAGAAAAAATTTTTCAAAAGAACCAGATTACCATCTCATTCTGGATCTATTTGATGATTATGATGGAAAGAAAATAAGAAAAATGAATTTTATTATTCTCACAGAAACTTCATACGCTTAGGAAATCTATCTGAAAGTTGAAATCTTTCGGGAATTCGAATGATGATGATTTGCTTCATCATCGAAACTGATGATGATATGAGACTAGAATAGAACTGAAAAGAATTAATAATAGGAAAAATTATTATTATTTTCAAACAAAGATGCTTCTTTTCTCGAATTTGCCACGGATTCTTTTCATCTTGTCTATTTCGTTTTTCGAAATTCTCTCTTTTCAGAATTCATTCAATTCAATTCAGCCATTCATTTTCCATCTTCGTTCATCGATTCAATCATTCTCTTTTCATTTCTCATTTCAAATGAAAGAAAAATGAATGAATGAATGAAACAGAACCAGAAACAGAAACAGACGTGTCGCCTAGTTATGAATGATGATGATGATGATCACCATCGTTTCAACTGTTTCAGCAACGACAACAACAACGGAAAGAAATGGGAAAATTAATAGTGGTGTAACCAAGGGTGCTATATTTTGGGATAACCAATGAATGAAGTGAAGGAAGAAAAAAAATCTTTTCAATTCATTCATTCATTTTTCCTGTCGATGGTGCTGATGACGATGATCATGATGATGATGATGATGATGATGATGGCCACTAGGCGACCGTCAAGCACATTCTCTAAAAAGAACGAGACAATAGAAAAAAGGAAAAACGACAAAAAAAATTGGATCCATTCATTTCATCATAACGAACGACAATAGAATGATGGTTGAAAATTTTTTTCTTCGATACATAGAACACAACACATAATAGTGTGTGTCACTAAAATAGTGACAGCAACAACAGAAAAAAGTATCCACCATTCACATTGGCACAAATGACATTTTTTTACATTTCAAAATTATCATCATTATTGAAGGCGCCCATATGGCTTGGATCGGTAATGATTTTTGAATCATCATCAAGCAAAAAAGATTCTCGAGTGGTATTTTATGTTTTCTTTTTCAATTATTTCATTCAGCCATAAATTCATGATTCATGAATGATGTAAAGTCAACTAATTCAAAACAAACTTGTAGAAAAAGTTTCAACTTTTTATCATCAATTTGAATTTTTTTTTTTCGTTGTTTGAATATTCAAGAATGAACAGAAAAAACTTGAAAACTTTCCATAACAAATTGAACAATAGATTCAATGATGGAGAATGAAAAATCATAGGTAAGAACATTTTCGTTGTTGTTGTCGGAAGATAAAATCAATCGACAGAATTCATACGAAATCGGTTCGTTTCATCGTTTGATTTTAGTCAACAAAGGAAAAAACTTTAATAAATTAGATTAATGATGATGATAAAGGAAGAAAAAAACTATTCAAAACCATCAACATCATCATCTTAGACTTGACATTGGGCCAAATGAAAAAGAAGAAAATCCACTAGTTTCTTTACGAGCAAGTTATACAATTTTCAAACACACCCAAAACACACACGAAACACGAGAAAAATAAATTCGCAGAATCATCCAAAAACAAAAACGGTTTTCTATTGGGAATCAGTACCATTGTCGAGCACGATCCACGAAAGAGAAAGAAAAAAAGATTCAGCAAAGACAATCCATGGAACAAATAAACAAACAGACAAAACAGTACGATGTTCACAATCGAAAAATAAACCAACAACAACAACAAAAAGGATTCTCTAAGCTTAGCTAAGCATTTTGCTTTTTTCAGGGATTTTCATGAAAACAACACACATTATGATTATTATATTTGCTCAGTGCTTCGGATGTGTGATATAACCCAATCAAAATTTGCAGTTTACGCCAACATCATATAATAATAATAATAATAAAACCAATAATAAGAATCTAAGGAAATGTTCTATGTACAGGAATCGATCGATAATTTGATCGAAAAAACAAAAAAATAATCGATACAGCAATGAGCAGCCAAACATAAACAAAAGAAACATCCATGGATACTTTATTATGAATAAGGAAAGAAGAATTTTCTAATTTTAATTTTCAAGCAAGAATCCATGGCCGACATTTTTTCGATTTGATTCGATTCAAAATGCAAGAATAAAATTCAATTCAATTCAATCAATCAATCAAATCGATTAATGTGAAAAACAATGAACAAACAAATTTTTTGTAACTGTTTTCCATCGAAAAGAATCGATCGATAGACATTTTGAAACTTGAACGAGAAAAATTGAAGAATTTTAAACAACCAAAGTAAACATTCTGTCATGTGAAATGTGATTTGATGTTGTGTGCGTTTCAAGACAAAGAAAAAATTCGGCTTAATATTTTCTTTCAGTCAATTTTGTGTGAAACAAAACAAAGCAGTGAAAACGTGCTCAATTTATACAAATACAAACACTCTAAACCAGAACAAACGAACAAATAGGAACAAAGCAGATCCAAATGATGGCCGAAAGAATTTCATTTTTTTTTTTTCGTTTACTTTTTTCGATTTGTTTTCAGTTTCATTGGGGATTCTTTTTTCACGGATTTATTTAGTTGTTTCTCACCCTCATTTCATTGAGTTTAGTTTGGAAAAAAAACATTCAAACAAACAATTCCGAAAGTGATCCTCTAGGAGAGGGAGAAAATGGTCTAAATACAAGAAAAACAAAAACAGGAGAGTAAAAAGAAAAAACTTTGGAACCAAAAAAAAAGTTGTTCCAGGATCTCGTCCATTTATAAGTGTGTTTGTTGTTGTTGTTGTTGTTGTTATTTGGTCGGTTGGTTAGCCTGGATGGCTGATTGGAAGGGAGAAGAATAATCATAAATCTTCGACGATCTTTGTATTCACATTCTATTGCTTCGTTTATTATTGTAACATCGTTGTTGTTGTTGTTGTTTTCTTCGTCCGTCTAAAACGTTATAGGAATCCGGTGTGTTTAGAAATTCATTTCGGCACAACAACAACTTCACAAACAACAAGAATCACTATTGTTGTACACATGTACAAAAAAGAGAGAGAGAGTACAAATGGGATATAATAAATAAAAATAAGAAACAAAACAAAAAGAAATTTCGATTACCACCGGTCGGAAGTATCGAAAAGAAGATATTCTCTTCCATATGCGGCTGGTAGAAAAGAACAATTTTTCTCCAGTATCAAAATACTGTTTCAGTGTGTTGGTTGAACAACCAGTGAAGAGGAAAGAATTTGTCATTCAGTCCACCGCCACCATCATCCTGATCATCATGAAGCCACATAATCATCGCATGAACATTGGACAATAAAAAAACCAGAAAAAAATTATATGATATGTATCTTTGCCATGGTCAGCAGAATCTTGGTCGATTAAAGTCCTGTTTCATGTTGGAAACATTAATAAAAATGATCATCATCACGAATGAATGGATAAGATGTACAATTTTATACAATAGAACTCAATGATGAATGAGTGGCTTAAAAATAAAGATTGTCGACATTTCATTTCATTTCAGAAAAAAATGAATCAATTTTTGCGGATGTGAATCGTGAGATTCATGAATATACAGAGACAAAAATAATGGCAACTCATTGGATTCATATTTTAAAATTCATAAAAAGAAATTGTTTTTCGCAAATATCAAAAAAAAAAATGCGACCATTTCGGCGATTACACACATCATGCATTGCAAAAAAACAACTGGAAAAAGAAGGAAAAAGGTTTTTTTTCAATTCGGTTAAACAAAATTTTAAAAGATTCAAAGGAAAATAGCTAAGACGATTAACCACTTTTTACATACATTTAATCGCTCATCCAGAGGAATTGAAACTTACCCAAACAAAAGCAGTAGGAACAGAATGATGATGATGGGATTTTTTTTTGGTGATAAATATACAAAGATTGAAGTCACAAAAATTACTTAAACACAAAAAAAGATCAAAACGATGAAATTGTTGTTGTGTGTAAAGATGTCACCATTTATTTATTCATTCACATTCAAATCTAAACAGAGAGAAAAAACAAAATGTGTTAGTATTAGATGATAATCAATATTATCGGCTTTTTGTCTGTGTGAATGTTTTTTTTCAAGAAAAAAGGGTTATTAGTGAATGAAACAAGCTCTGTAGTTTCTAGTCGAAATGAAAATGATGAAAACACAGAAATCTTTCAAATGAAATTTTTGGATCGAAAAAAAAACTTGGGTCAAGTATCTCTGTGTGTGTGTGTGTTCTGTTTGCTGTTTGTAATTGAGTTTCCACTCACAATTTAGATGGTGGACTTTTAAAACTTTTTGTTTTTGTTTTCCAATAAAACAAACAAACAAACAAACACAGCAACAATAGAATTTCAAAAGTTTTAAATTCGATCAAAAAAGAAAAAAGTCAATCACTGAAGAATTGTCGGTACAGACTGGACTATTTTTAAGGAGTTACAACTTTTTTCATGTTAATATTTAGTGAATGATTCGTAACATTGTGTACAAACAGAAGAAAATTGATTAGCCTAGATTTCCATTCTATTGGAGTGGTTTGATTGAAATAATAAAGCATTGATTTTCTTTCCAATATCAAACACAAACACACACACAAAATAAATTCAACCAACCAATAAAACGTGATCAATTGTGAATATACCTTTTTTATTACGATAAAACGACGGCAATTAACCTGACTTGGTTTAATTTTTATCATTATTTCTTCTTTCATTGAAAATGAGCAATACAAGAGCATTCAAGTCGGTAGCAGGACACACACACACAGGTAAAGTTTGGAATTTTTCTATCTTCAATTTTCTAATCAAGAAAACAAAAAGGCAGTAAAATTAACCGAAATTGTCTTAATTAAGAAACAAAATCAATAATAACCACAACAATGGCCGCTGAACAAGAAAACAATGAAAAAAAATCCAGACCTGATCTAATTTTACTACTTGAAAGAAATTGAAAACATTTATCAAGAAAATGGTCAGAAAAAAGGCACCAAAAAAGATTATCTCATCTTGAAATAATCAATGAATTAATACACCGAAAAAAGGCTTAGCATCTTGAATCCAAAACCATAATTAATACATAACATGAAAAACAATGTAACCCAAAATCGTTAAAAAAGGAGGAAGAAGGAAAATGATGATGATGAGATGGCGGATATCATCATCCACATTGTCAAGATGAAAATGAATAACCGAATTTCTTTCCGATCATCATCATCATCATCATCATCATCAACAACTGCAATATTAACATCATATAATAATTATTACCAAGTACATGTATCTATCCAATCCATTTCTTATTCCATTCAGGTCGATTGAATTGAGGATTTGATCATCATTATCATCCTCATCTGGATGAAATGGCGGCCAGTTGGTCATCAATGATGATGATGTTTGGTGTTTATATAACATCGAGTGAGAGAAAGAAAAGCCTCCCTCTTCTATTTCGTCTGATAACGTTATTATGATGATGATGATGATTATAATTGGATGAAGATGCCACCATCCTCATCAAGGAAAAAAATATTCAAAGACTCTAATCCAAAAAATACAGCAAGTGATCGAACCAATGGGCTACCTTTTCCCTCTGTTGAATTTTTTTTCTACTCATATCTGTTTTCATTCCATACAAAGGTGCCTGAGGATGATCTGTGTGTGTACCGATTTGATCTAGATTAGATTTGAAGATGACCAAGTGATCTACTATTGTATAACGCTTATCTTTTCTTTCAAAAAAAATGTTACGTCTTAAAACCATCTTCCAAACACGGAATTAAAAAGGTGGATCGATTCGAGTCGAAAAAAGAAAATCTTGACAAAAATTCATCTGATTGATTAGCTTATTTTGTTTATGTTGTATTTAATCCTTTTGTTGTCGAAGATGACAATCGATTCGGATCAATCGTTTTGCCTAGAGGTCTCATATTTTTTTTCTAGTTGGTCACTACTACTGTATTGTGTATTGTGTATTGTGTGTGCTATTTATTGTTCAAATTGATCGATTTCAGTGATTTATGTGAAAACAACAACAACAACAACAAAGAATGAAGAAGAATAATGGAAAGATAAAAGACAAAAGATTAATCTTTTTGCTTTCAAGATTTATTTCCAAGTGAAAGTGCCCAAAGGAAATGTCAAAGTTGGAAGCCATTTTCCGACAACAACGAGGAATTTCTTCTGAATAAATTATCAATAAATTAAACGAAAGCAGAAAAGAAACATATCCGGTGGCAATGCAAATCTATTTCAATCGTTTAGTTGGTTTGTTGTCGTAAACGAGAAATTTTATCCAAATCCAAATCAATCAATAGATTAATACCTAATGATGCTAAACGGTCGTATTCATTTAATAATCAACTGGGAAAAATTTGCATGATAAGATTGAAAAACAAAAAACACGTATCATTCGTCAACCAGACCCAGTGTTACCTCGCCTAAATGCTCTCACTGCTTTCATGATCTTTTTGTTTTCTTTTCGATTCGATGATAATAAATAAATAAATAAATAAAAAGATGATAATTTATGCTCCAATGGGCAACGGTTCACTTTAAACTGTTTCATCATGCAACAAACAAACAAACAATCTATGTTGGCTAAATGAAATGGGCTCGTTCCTTCATCATGATCGTAGACATAATGTTGATGCGCAACATGGCAGCGGCCCATTCGACCAAATTAAGTTCATCATCGTCATCATCGTTGTCCAAAATTTGATCAACAACAAAGCAGGCAAATAATTGAAATGAAGAAAAATCGCTTTGCCAGAAAGAAAAAACCGAATAAAAAACCCAATGAAACCTGCGCGCCGTTGATGCTGTCATATATGAACGAATCATTTTTCATTCATTTTGGACATTTTTGTGTTGGATAATTGTTTTTACACATTGCTTTTGGATCCAACGAGTGAATTTTTCGTTGTTGTTTTTGTTCATTTGTTTGTTTATTTTGATCAATGGATCGAACGACGACCGTTTCATTAGACATTCAAGTCTTGTCCGTTTTTCTTCATTGTTGTTTTCATTTCCCCATGAAAGAAATGAATGAATGTTCATTTTGAGAAAACAACATTTTTTGGAACATGTAAAACGTGATGATGATGATAATGATGATTATCATCCACATCATAACCAAAATCTGGATTCATTTTGATCATGGTGATGATGATGATGATGATGATAATGGAAAACCATTTCATAATCATCATTTTGAATCGAAAACTGTATCACATCTCTCGCTCTCTCTCTGGAAACGAATCAAATTCAAATTTAAATAATAAATAATCAGATGTCTGGAATGTTGGACATTCGATTGTCAATTTGATGCTGATCACAATAATAATATGATTAACCGAGAGAAAAATGATGCTCGAAAGAAAAAACAATTAGAACAATCGTATATGGTGTCTGCGTGTTTGTTTGTGTGTGTATGTTTGGCAAGCATTAAAATTAATTTTCTTTCGATCCTCTTATTTCCAAATAAAACAATGATTATCATCATCATCATCATTCTCATTATAAACAATCACACACACACACATACACACACACAAAGTACAATTGTTTTGAATCCAGAAAAATCATCATCATCATCGAATTCAAATATTTAAATGTCATAAGAATTTGAAAAGAACTTGAAAAAAGCCGACCATTAAATGATAATGATGATCATCAAGTTCAAATCAATGTGTGTGCAATCCAGTCAAATAAAGAAAAAAGGATTGCATACACATGTAATGATTTAAACATTTTTATTTTATTATTATTACATTGCATCTTTCAGGTATATACACAAAACGACCAATAGAACAATGATGTTCATGTAATGCTGCTTAGATTTCGGATTGATGACCATTATCATCATCAGCATCAGCATCGTTCAATTAGAAAGGAAATGGTTTCTTCTTGGTTAGGATTTTTTTCGATTGTATCGATCATCAATTAATCGATTATATTTATAATGAATGAAAACTTTTCAATACGAAATTTTTTCCTTTTCGATTTGAAAAAAACGAAATTTGTTTCTTTTCAAAATGATAATTTCAACTGTAAACTGTAAACCGGAACAACTCATTTTCTCTATCGGACAATGTGGTCACAAAATAAGAAAATTGTGCCAAAAATCCATATTGCCACTTTATTCAACCAGGTATTATTATTATTATCGAATGATCGAATGATGATAAAAGAAAAGAAACGAAACGAAACGAAAGAAAGCGAGATGATGAAAAAAAGGAAAAATTAGAAATCGACAATTTTTTAAAAATAATGACGATGACAATGTGATTGACAAAACATTTGTTCCGAATCTATGGAATTATTATGATGATAATCGTGCTACCGCTTCTGCACATTGAAAAAGGTATAAACAAACTATTGTAAAAAAAACTTACTTTACATGAAAATCAAATGAGAAACCTCTTTCTCTCTTTGCCTTTTCTTTTGTCGGGTCAACTAACTCTTTTTTTTGGTAAACAGCAATAAAAAAGCGATCATCATCATCATCATCATCAACGAATGAAATGAACTTTGCACTGTGTGTAATAGAGAACGCACACACAAATAGAGAAAAAACAAAAGACAACGACAATCATCATCCATTCATCGTATTCAGGAAAATAATACAATCCACATCCACAATCACATTACAGTCTTTATTTTGGATCATTATTTTTATCCTGAAAAAAATACGAAATGTGATGATGTGATCATCATCATTATCATGCTAGTACAATATTGCGTGAATACAAAACAAAAACACAGTGAGCAAGTATTGAAATTGAATTTAAAATGGATATAACCATGTGTGGCACCCATGGAAACGAAACGATGATGATGATGAGGACAATTTGTCATAAAGAAGAAACCAAAAAATGAGTCCAATATAACAATAATAAAACAATGACAACGATGCATACATTAAATCCAGTGATATAATAATGATTAGTGATGTTGATGTGCTGAGGTTAGACCACCACACGTCGAATGTCACCAACAAAGTGGTCTGAGTATTTCTGAAATTTTGGTGTATAATTTCATTTCATTGATGTTCATCATATCATGATCATCACATCATTAATAATTTTCTCAAATATTTTCTATTAAGGAATTTAAATTCAGTTTCACCATACTAGAACATCACATCTAGATAACGCCTTCTTGGCTACCAATTCTTTTGATCATTTTTTGTTGGTGAAAAAAATCAATAATTAATCATCATCAAGATCATTATGGGTGATTGGTGTTAGGGACATTACAATTGTTCGGATTGAATTCATCAAGGCAAAATGAATTTTTCTAAAAAAACAAGAATTTCACTGCCATCTAATGTATTTGTTAGTGTGACATTCATAGCTGAGAAAGCAATGAACGAACAAAAGAATTGAATTCAATGTTTGAAATTTCGGTATTCAATCCTTTTCGGATCTAAAATAATGAAACTTTCTTATAACAAGTACTCGTTTTCTGAGGAAAAAATGACTTTAGAAAACTGTTTCATATGTGATGATGATGGTTCGCCTGAATAGTTTTTTGATCGTTCTTTGCTTTTTTGTGTGTGTGTATGAGCATACGACATTTTTTTTCTCAATCTTTTTTTCAATCTAAAATGAGAAAATCATTGTTGAATACAAAGGTCAAAATAAAATAAAAAATCGACGACCAGGACTGCTGAAATTGTATTTCACATAACGTATATGACATACGAACAACAACAAGAAAGAAAACGCTTTCAATCAACAGAGGAAAAAATAAGAATTGAGAGGGTCGCTCATTCATTCATTCATTCAGGTTGTTGCAAAAAAGTCAAAATCAATGGCCATCACCATTATCAATGATCAATTCAATGAAAAAGTGAACAGAAATAAAGAAGAAGGAGAAAGGTAACAGTGGGGACCACAATTTTCACTGCACTACTCATGCACACAGGTAACAAGCGTTCATCATTAACGATCCAGAAACCGTGCCCAAAATGGAAAATAAAGAATGGTGAAAAATGGTGATAATAGACCTATGATCATCAAGACCAAAAGAAAAAATAGATCAAATAAATCAAATGAAATTTTTTTGGATCGAAATGATTTCAAGCAAAATAACAAAACACAACACAACACTACCCTAGTCTTCTCGGTGGCTGAGAAAAATTTCTCTCTGCTTTATAAAATTCAATAATAAAAAAATGAATAAATGTCACCAAAAAAGAAACAGAAAAAGCCAAAACAATGTGAGGAGAACAAAAATATCAATCGATTATATGGTTTGAATGAATGAATGAATTTACCATTATTCCATGTGTGTGTGTTGTATGGCAATTCGAATGTATTAGTTAGAGAAAAATCAAGCAATTTTTATGGCTAAAAAATTTGAATTGAATGAAAGTAAAGAAATTTTCCGCATTAAATTTTATTGTTGTTATTATTATTGTCATCGTTGTTTCCGAAATGCGTTTAAATCAACCAAAAAACAACCATTTTCGAAAGATTTTCGTCATCATCATCAATGATGGAAAACGATTTTTTTCATCACCCAGCACACACAAACATCCGGCAATTGGCAAGTTTCATTACATCATCATCGTTGTTGTTGACTGGATTGGTTTCAACACTTTTGGAATGAGAAAAATTTCATTCGATTTGAAAAACAAAACAAAACAAAACAAATCAAATCAAAGAAAATTCTCTATAAATATGACAAGACAAAAATAGAATGGTGTGAAAACCATATATATTATTAAACTAGAACGGAACCAATCGTTTTTGTCACACACACACACACAGTAACAAACATACATATTTATCATGTGAATGTCTAAATGATTGTGGACACTTTCAAATATTTAAATTTTCATGAAAAATCAAATTCAGGTCGAAAGAAACGACTGCCAAGACGAATGATGATAAAAATATGAATAAAAAAGGAAAAATTTGATGATGACAGGATCTTGTAGCATAAATCTTATTTCCACTTATCAGTTGGCGATGATGATCACAAAATTTTAAAAGAAAAAAATTAATTAAATTAATCATAATTTTCGTCTTTGCATCCAAAGAAATTCGATATCCATGGTTATGTATTCACTTTGACCTTTTTTTTTTCTCTCTCTCTCTCTCTCTCTCTCTCTCTCTCTCTCTCTTGATCTCACACTAATATCAATGACAAACAGGCAAAATTATATTTTGATATATCCGAATATTTTTCTTTTCACTTCATATAAAGTGATAATCTAAGTACTTCTTCAATCATCATTCAAATTTAAATCAGATGCTGCTCGTTGGCAATAAAGCAATTATTCAGCCGACAAATCGAGCCAAGTAAAAAGAAAAATTATTCAAAAATTAAACCAACCGAATAAACACCACCAGATCTATTCGAGATATACATTGCGTGGACGAGTGTCTCAAAGACTTATCCATATGGTTGAAGAAAAAAATTGCAAAATGAAATCACAGAATTCATTCATTGAGCAACAAAAAAAATTCAGATAAGATATGTCAACGACCAATAGAAATAAGAAAAACGCCTTTAACGAACCGAATACATAAAATAGTGTATGTGATCAAAAGGTTCAAAGAATCTCGTTGAATAATAATAATAAAATAATCAGGAGTATTATCTATTCATTCATCTTTAATACATACAATATCAGTAGTAGTAGTAGTAGTAGTTGGACAGAAAGAATAAACAAACAGAAAATCTTCAATACGAAAAAAATTCAATGAACAACAACAAGAATCGACAAACATCCTACATATCATACATAGCATACTAAATGTGATTAGATAGCTACGAAAGAAACCTATCCATGACCTTAGAATATATCAGTTTCGTTGATTTTCAATGGAAAAAAATGAATGAAAAACAAAGCCAACAATGAAAGCCTCACCATATTGAAATTAAAATACACACTTAATTCGGTTTTATTCATTCAACAACAACAATCTAAACATAAGGCCGATAGGGACCTTATGTTTTCATCAGTCGAATAAAAGCGGATGCTCGAATTCATTATCATCATGAACTGTGCATGATGAAGATTTTATCATCATCATCAATATCGTTTCACAACAACAACGAAAAAAAACGCGCTCTTCATCATCATCATAATCATGAAGAATGTAATAGATTTTTTGCTGCAAAGCAACACCAGAAATTGAATAAAATAACACAACAGACATACAAACACACTCGAGAACAATGGAAAATTGAATCGAATAGCGATGGTTGAATATCACGTCCTATTGAACATCACAACCAATCCAATTCAAATGTTATGAACACACAAAACATACAACAAGGGAGAGATAGAGAGATACAATGACGACAAAGACAGAGAAAGAATGGAACAAAATTTCTGGTGACTTGAACCTTTAGTTGGTGAAAAATGATAATGTTATTCTGACGATGAACAGGAATTTGAAATGAATTGAATTTCAACGAAAATGCATAAGAATAATGAAACACAAACATAATGAGACCAAGTGATATCAACATTCACATTTCGTTTAGATTCCATCATTTTTTGATGATGATCAATGAAAATCAATCGAAACATGTTCAACGAAAAAATGGCAATTAGATGAGATTGATATTGAAAATGATGATTTCGAATTCTAGATAAAATGGAAAATAGCACGTAATATGCAAATGTAATTGGCAAGAAAAATATATTTCAATCAAAATAAATGATGATCATAATGATGATTGGTAGTTATACAATAAACAGGGTTGTTTTTGTTGTTCAATCAAAACAGAACGGAAATTGAGAGATATTTCACGAGAGAAAATTCTCACAGCGTAGAACCAAATATTAATTCAAGTCGTTGAACTTGAAGTAAAAATTCGTTATTAAATAGAAATCCTTCATCATACAAACATCTAACAATAACATTAATCAGACACATTGGATAACAATGAACAGTTACTATATTCAGATGACCTTCAATGTCATAATCAATGATAGATTTGTGTGCAAATCAACAGAACAAAGTTCAATAATAAATGAAAAAATGAAAAAATCATTCATTGATTGGATAACTAATAATAATCACATTTCATTCACACAAATGTTTTCATTTTGTTCTATCATATCTTGACTACTGAATTTTGATGGATAATGAAATTGTAGATTACAATAGTGGAAAACATTGCAAACGAATCGATAATGTTGAAATCGAATGGACATTGATAAATCGAATGAAATTGAATGATGATGCAATAATCATGGTTATGGTGGTCAAAATGAATATAGTCTCCGTTGATTAATGAAAAAACCACTTGGAAATATGAGCTAAATCTAATTTCAATTGTTTTCAAAGCTACTGGATTTTCTGCATTTCCAAAAAGCCCTGAAATCAAACATAATAAAACGATAATCTTTCTGATTTATATGATGGTGAATAATCTTCGAAAGTTATGCAGTTGGAATTATTATTAGATATAATCAATAATGGAATGTATCATTTCCGATTTTTTTCTTCATTTCCATATAATCATCATAAAGATATGGAGAGGGTAGATCACACAACTCATATCTTAAATATAAAATGAAATAAAATGTGTATATCTTGTCTGCAAAAATACAAGGAAAAAAATTAAAAACTTACCTTTACTTTATTTCACTGGCGTGGCAAGGTTTTTTTTATATTCAAAGAACAAATTTCGTTAGAAATTCAACACACACACACAAAAAAAACACATTTCATATATGAATCCTGACACTGGATACATATAACAAAATAAAAAACAAACACCACCAGCACTGAAAACTTGATAATTTTTTCCGCCAAACTTTATGTTTCCAATGACACAACAACAACAACAACAAGAAACGGGAAAAAAGCAAATTTTTTTTTCTCGGTTGGATAAGAAATCATTTGATGATCACCGAATTTGATGATGAATACATGACGACGACTATTTTATTATTTGTCGCGGTAAATAGTAGTGGTTGGAAAGGTCGAAACCAATATAGATTATGTTGGTTGTTGTGTTGGGTAGATTTAAGAAAATGATACGAAAAATTGCAATCACAACATCATATCATATCAAACACACACACACACACACGGTGTTACTTTTTCTGTCCAAGAAGTAAAGAGAGAATATTCCAAAAAATGATGTAAGAAGAAATAACACCGTTGTTGTTGTTGTTGTTAAGATGAAGAATGGACAATGATTGATTAATGATGGTCCAAGAATTTTTTATTTTCATTCGGTAGAAAACGAGAAAAAAACAAATCAACAAACAAACACGATTATTGCATTGCCAATTGGATGATGATGAATGAATAATGATGTTGTATATGTATGGCAAAATAAATATCGTATTTGATAATAATCAAAGTTTTTTCGCTGGCTGATTGTCGTTGCTAAGAAAAATATTCAAGGATTGCAATCGATTGTCGATTTGACAACAACAAAAACAAGATGAATAGGAAATTCACATCTGAAAATGTCGTTGTCGATTGTTGTTTATGTTGATGATGATGGCATGAATCATGGAAAATGGATCATCAACACAATTAATAATGTAAAGTGTGAAAAAAATACGATCACACAACACTTTTTCAATGACAGCCAACAGACAGAGACACGGAAACAATTTCACTCACAAAAAAAAACTTTGAATAATTTCCCAACCGGACCACATGTGAAAACATTCAGATTGGACGGTTGCGGCCTATAGTGGAAAAATAAAAACAAAAATCAGATGAATCAAGTCCAATGAATCCATTGACAAACTCAACAAAGAACAACAATATCCAATGAAAGCCAAAACATGAATGAAATGCTTCAATTCATTGTGATAACAGAAACACAACGAAAAGGAAGAGACTGAACAAGAAAGAGAGAATTGTATGTTTCTTTACATCTGGCTATACCTCTACCACAATCATAGACGAACAAAATAGTAGCATGGAATTATGGGATATCATTTTTAGGATGCTAGAAGCAAATTTAAAAGTAGTAGTAATTTTGGTAGTGGTCAAGAATAAAGAAAATCCTGAAATAGGTTGTTGTACCCTAGATACCGTAACATGTCGATTGCGCGGCAAGGGTGGACAATGGTCGAACAATAGAAATTGTTCTACCAGATTCACATAAATACTGATTCAGTCTAAATTTCATGTCATTTTTTCAATTCACACTTTTATTATTAAAGTTTTTTGGAAGAATTTATCGTTATAAATAAACAAACAAATGTCGACAATCAACTGTATCTTTTTTTTCAGTCAATGAAAGAATCAATGAAAAATGGGCCTTAGGCATAATGAAAACGAGAAAAAAATACGGCAGCGACCTTACATTCAAAAAATGGGGAGCAAAAAAACCTGAATTCACCAACAGAAAAAACTTGAACCGAGAGAGAAAGCAAAAGAATCAAAAATCGAAAAAAAGTTGTGATTATTATTAATTATAAATTCGTTGCAGCAAAAAAAAAGTTGAAAGTTGAAAGTTCAAAAAATACTAATAACAGTGTATACGGCGGTGTGGGTATAGGTGTGGCCATTGGAAAAAATAATAATAAGATGAAGGGGAGTTTTATTTTTACTTTTTCTCGTGCTCGTCCCAAATGTCAAAGGTCATCACATCATCAGTCTTCAGTCAGTCAGTCAGTATGTATGTATGTGTGTTATTATTATGCATAGAGTTTTTATGAACGCGTACTACTACTTGAATTTGATCAATTGTTGGCCCATTCATTGGTTATAAAGATTGGTGAAAATGATCGAAAAAATAAACCTAGTAAAAGAAATCATCATCATCACGAATCTGAAACCTAGTATTCTTCTCCTTACAGAAAAAAAGGTCAAAGGTAAATGTATGGTGTGGATGTTCATCATAGATTTGTTCGGGGGCCAAAAAAAAATAAAAAAAATATTGACCATATATGATTGGCGATGATGATGTATTTTTTCTTTTCTCGTTTTCTCATTATCGATATGTGTAGCGTGTCTGGAAGTAACACATCCAAGTATAGAGAAATTTTCAAGTGGAATTCAACTAATCATAAGAGATGAAATGAAAACGAGATTTGTTTTCGTCATCGTTCAATCTATGGTTTCTTGATTTTGTGTGTATATTATATATATAGTTATTATAAGTGTGGAGAAATACGAAATTCATCATTTGATCGAATAAAAAGATGAAAAAAAAATTCAGAAGCAAAAATCTCAATGTTCAATTCCAATACTGGATCCTTATCACATCATCATCATCATCATGGTTATTTAGTTTTTTTTTCTTCGCTTCGATTTTGGTCGATCATCATTAAATTTTGGACTAAATCGAAATGAAAAAAGAAAAACAAGTAAAAAACAAGATCATCAATTTCGATACGAACAAAAATGATTTAGATGATGAGAGAAATGTATATAATATAAATATATAAAGGTAAAGGTAAAGGTAATAATTTGATAAAATGAAACTGCTAAATGATCAACACCACTGATGATGACGATTAGGGATCTGAAGGATCCTGAGCATAAATAATAATGATAATAATCATAAGGGAAAAAATGATTCAAAATTATGGCAAGTTATGAAAAAAAATCAATTTTATGATGATGACAACACCTGATGATGATGACGACGATGATGATGAGAGATATGATAATACCAGTAGCCAGGCCAAAAGATTAAGATTTTGATCAAGAAAAACAGAGATTATCATTGATTGATTTGCGAACACACACACACACACACTTTCAACACTTATGAAGAAACTCTCAACAAGAAAACATTTAAATAACAAATCGAGATTAGCAAGTTACATTCGGCAGGAAATTGAATTTGAATTTATACAGTGGTTGAAATGAAACCTTGATTTGTCCACTGCTACCTAGAGATATCTATCGATCATTTTATTTTTGTTTTTGATTCGACCTGATTTTTTGTCATGTAGTCGTCGCCATTTAATTCACGATAATCAATTTCATCGAAATTCAATCAAAATCAATATAATTCGAGTGTCAAATCTGTGAAAATTTCCCATTTCCGAAACATTATTATTGTTATGATTTACAATTTACAATTTGTCATTGTGAAAACAAATGAATGGGAGAAATTCATTCTTCTTTTTGACAATTTTTCACATTTTATTCAATCCATTCATCATTCATAATGATATATTTGATCATTAATTGATCAACAAATATCAATGATCGATGACAGTCACCACAACTATAAATTTTGTTCAATGTTTGCAATGTCAATTTTGATTCAAGGATGACCATTTTTGGTTCTGATGAAATCAAAATGACACACAAATACTGGCCATTATTTTTTTTTCTCAGTTTGCCCCAAAGGAAAACTGTTTTCATCCATACATAAGTAAATGTCCAGTAGTGAATTCGGAATCAAAAAATAAAATGAAACAGAAGCAAATCATGTTATGTGAATGATATGTTTGTAGTAGATTTGTTTTCTCTCTTTTCGATCCATGATGGTCAACAATTGAACAACAATTTATCATCTGTATGACGCCCATGACAAATTATCATTTGAATAAAGTTTGTCGATTTTTCGAGTTTTTTCTGTTGTTCGTTTCACCAACAAATTGGGTCTGATGGAATTCAATATAATATTCCAAAATGGTTTATATACTAATTCACATGTGTGTGTGTGTGTGTTGAAATTAGTAGCCGAAAAATAATAAATGATGGAAAACTCGAACAAAACACATATGGCAATCAACTTTGATATATGATTATGTATGATGAATAAAGTTCAAGTTGCTTTCAGTAAATATGATCATTTGATTATGATTATCATGATGATCAAATGATCTTGGAGCACCCAACACACAGACGAAGAGACAAGGGTGATGCCATCCAATCACAACATAGTGAACAAACAACGAGAAAAAACAGCATTGCACAAAGATTACTCCATCGCTTGTTATCGATCCATCATAATCATCATCATCATCATCAACACTTGCTACTGGAATTAAATTTTGATTTTCTCAATTTCAGCAAGCGATCATAGTGATGATGAAGGAAATATAATCGAAAATGATAATTTCCTTTCGACAGAAGAAAATTTTCATATTTTTAAATGGAATTTTATCAAAACAAAACAAAAATCCAATCATTTCTTACAAAACGGATACCAAGTTCAAATGATAAATAAGATGCTGTTATTGTCAAGGTTGTCGATATTATTATAATAATCATTTGCATGCAACATCAACACTGATATTGTATTGATTGGATCGAATCACAGATAGAACACACACACGATATCGATGATTAGGAATGGAAATGATAAAAAAAAATCAATCGAATCTGGCATTGTTTGATGATCAAAAACCTGTTAATTATACAAAAAATAACCGAAAATGACGAAATATTTTTTTTCATTATTGCGTGCATTGCGTGATGATGAAAAAATAAAAAATTCAACTTTGACCTCAAATATTTTATATTCAGTGTGTGTGTGTGTGTCAATGTTTTCCAATTATTTTTGGAGGGTCAATATAACAATTGTTTGAAGAAAAAGAATGAAAAGAGAAAATTTTTATAATATCCCACGCGAATAACACACACAACTCATCGCCATCAAAATAGGATGATGGAATGGAAATCGATTGGAATCATCTCAGAAATTTTTTTTTTCGATTTGATGAAAAGGCGCGAATCAATCAGTCAAATATTTTCTCGACGTCAACAAAGATAATGATGATGATGGACACC